AGCGTACAACAGTTGCTAGCTATTGATCTGCTAAAAATAAAAAAGAAAGATTCTGTAAAGTAAACATAATATAGCAAGTAGTTACGTAGTCATCATAATGGGAGGAAAACTGGTAGGCTTATACTAATAGCAATGAAATAATAACTATTATGTTGCTTTAGACTTGTGAAGCAGAATCATGCCTAACAGAGCATGGCAAAGAAGGGATATGGTATAAATGCAATGAAAGCCACTACTTTTGCAGCCTCCACCAAAAAAAGAGTACATGCCCCATACATACCAATGAGGCACGCCTGCCTTGCGATGTTGAGTCATGCTATAAGACAGACTGTGAAAGTGGTAAATGGTTTGACTGCAATGAATGGCACCATTTATGCAGCTTTCACAGGAGTGGAGAAAAGTGTCCATGCCATATGCGTAGGCCATGTAGTGCTGCTGGCTGCACTAATACTGACTGCAGTTTTGGTAATTGGTACAAGTGTAACTATGAGCACTATTACTGTACCACTCATCAGAATAAAGAGACATGCCCTTTAGATGCATATGGTCACAAAACATGCGATGCTTGTAAAAATATAGAATGGAGGAGTGGGATCTGGTATGATTGCAATAAAGAGCACCACTTCTGCAGGGAGCACCGGGGGAAAGAGAAATGCCCCGTCGACAGAAGATATAAAAGGAAAACATAAAAACTACAAGACAAACTATTTACATTGCTATGAAGTGGATTAGTAGATACTTTTGCTGCTCCTAGGCTAGCATCTCTTTTAAATTTCAAATGCCCCACATTACTTATTATAATTGTTTTTTATTCTGTTAGTCAAATTAATGCAGTCAAAACATTATTTATTGAAAGAGGGATTGGGAGAGGAAGTATGACAGGTAGGAGGAGATATAACGAATGCTATTATCAATGTAATAACAACAAGCAAACCAGTACAGTGAGTACAGTATAGAAACATAAACATTAATGCTAGTAAACAAAAGCATATACAATAAGAATCAGTTCAAAAAACATGCATACATGAATCAAAAAATGTAATTTCGATCAGAATTAGGAAATGTAACAAAAATGAAGCACATTAGCTCACCAAAATGACCAAATATGGGGTCCTTATTCTACATCCTGATGACATCATGCATCCATTTAACCTGGGCTGCTATGCATGACAGCTTGTTTAGGCTGGATTGCTATTGTTGTATAAATTTTTAGAATGATTTTATTTTAATACAACAAAAACAATACTTGATTCTAACAAGAGTAAATCTACTCTTGATTCTAATCAAATTACAAAACAACTTAATAATGAAATAAAATGCTTGCAACTATTGCAAGCATTGCTCTACTTAACATAAATCTCATAATAGCTAACAGGAACATCTTCATTATCAGTTCCCTCATCTCCACACACCCTCAACTCAATATAGTCAGTAGTGGTAGTGTTACCATAGTCTCTGTGAAACCATGGGATACCAGGAACATTACAACAAGGTGATTCAGAAGAACCACAACTTTGACCATCCCAGAGTGGATCAGATGCATACAACTGTTGTTGTCGATGTACACCAGCAAACCCTGATTCACAGAAATAATGATCACCAACAAATGATTGAACTTGTTGCAAAGAACCAGTAGCACAAGGACCAAGCTCATAAAGGTTGCTATTTCTTTCAAAACTGGCAGCCATTAGTGTCCAGACATGATGACGAGGAGACCCACGAGTGATACTAACACCATCAACATAATCACCATTCAAATTATTGTGATTAGAACCATCATTGTACACTGCATCAGGAGATCCATATTGATATCCAGTTGCTCTACCACACACCTGAGAATAACTGATACCATTAGATGGGAACTGAACTGATGTACAACTGCCTACACTTGATGTTGCTCTACCACAAGCTCTAACTCCTCCTGACTGGTACAGTCTAAACCCAGAAGGACAGTTCTGTGTAGCATTAGACATATTCAAATATGCTAGTCTTGTCCATCCTCCTCCTGAACCACACAACTCGTCCACATTACAGAGAGTGCAGTTAGTTTCATTAGAGGTGGGTAGTGCAGTAGAAACATTGTGTAGTACTAATAGTTCTTGTGCTATTAGCAGTATATCATCAACCACTCCAGCAGTAGAGGTACTGGTGTTTTGTATATTAGAGAGAGTATCAATAATGTTATTAAGTTTCATTGCTGAGCTACTAACTGTTTCTATGACTCTATTCAATAGTAATGTATTGTTCTCATGGAAGGTTTCTTCTTCTTCGTTAAACTTTCCAATGACATCAACTTTGTTAGCTGTATCTTGTAATGTGTTGCTGAGTTGAGTGATAAGACTCAGTACTAGTGTATTGTTATTTAATGAGACAGCATCAGATAATGAGGATAAGCTAGGATCAAAATACTGGTAAACACCAGTAACAATATCATCGGACCATTGAGTGAAATTAGGACACAGCTGCTGATTACTGTCAGTAAACTTTCGGACGACATTATTAGCCAATTTGGCCAAATTAGGACACTGCTGCTGATTCAATTCAGTGAAATTAAGACACTGCTGCTGACTATTATTGTTCAATGACTGCAGAGAACTGTTATAGTACGAGTTGGTATTAGATCCAGTGCCAGTAGAATCTTGTGCAGTCAAAATCAGTCCAGTTACGATAATAATAATAACCAGTAGTAACAGTATGATACACATCAATACTGTTAGTATAATAACTGGTATACTCCACACTGACTGATGGGATGATTTACTATCAGATACAATATGAGGTTGAGGCTCTATCTCTCCTTTAACAAATGGAGCCAGTTCATATTCATTCTCTTGTGTTGAACTAGTGGGTTTATAAGAAGTCTCCTCCATAGTTGCAAAATACCAAATCGAGCTAATATTGTCCTTTATATACTGTATCTCAGTTGGAGTTTGGGTTGGAAGTAGAAGCAGTCAAGCAGGTACATGGAATTCAAAAACGTTGGAACATAATAACAAATCAAAAAGCTTTTAACAAAGTTGCTATACATGTATGCCAGACACTAGGCCCTTATAGATACAACACTAGCAACAAAGCACAATAAATTTGTTTTTATTTCTGCATAAATCTACCACCTGTAAATTTTCTTAGCAGGTTAACTAATATTCATTATATCATTTCTATTTAAAATGTATGGTCTGTCCTCATTTATTAACAGTTACTCTGTTGATCCCTGGGGTGCTCTGCATAATAGCTTGTTTTGGCTGGGTCGTTAAAGTTGTATACCTTTTTAGAATATATTTGAAACAAAACAAAAACAATGCTTGACTATAATCAAACTACAAAACAACTTAATAACAAAATAAAAAACTTGCAACTGTTGCAAACATTAATTGTTCTACTGAACATAAATCTCATAATAGCTAACAGGAGTGTCTTCATTAGCATTTCCCTCATCTCCACACAACCTCAACTCAATATAGTCAGTAGTGGTAGTGTTACCATAGTCTCTGTGAAACCATGGGATACCAGGAACATTACAACAAGGTGATTCAGCAGAATCACAACTTTGACCATCCCAGAGTGGATCAGATGTATACAATTGTTGTGTCCACATAGGAGTAACCCCTGATTCACAGAAATAATGATCACCAATGAATGATTGAACTTGTTGTGTAGAGCCAGTAGCACAAGGACAGTTATTACCAGTGATAGGCAATAAATTAATGACATTACATTAAATGACATTATTTTTACCACATTAATTTATTTTTATCATAAATTATAATGTATCATTTATGGAGGTGGAACTTGTGTGTGACTTGTAGCCACGTGGGAGCTCTTTGACCAGATCTAAATCCTCTTATACATATCTGACCTCAGGGCCCACGGTTTATTATCAAGACCCACCTTGTCCTTGTTTCTTATCACCTTCTGTACCATTTAGGCAGATTGCTTGGTGGGCAGCCCACCGGGCAATCTGCCTAAATGGTACAGAAGGTGATAAGAGACAAGGACAAGGTGTTGGCACTTGTATGATTTCAATTTAATTTCAATTTTTCTGTACTTATAATAAGAGAGTTTTTTTTGATATGATAACTTGAGCTACCAACTTCACGTGGCTGGATAGAAAGCTGCATTTCTTGTACATAGCTGCCCTAACTCTGTAACTCACATCACAAGGCGGGTCTTGATGATGATGATGAAGTTGCTGATGAGGACTGACTGACTAGTCAAGGACATTTGTCAATAACATTACTATTACATTATAATGTATAATGTTCATTAATTTATTTTTTAAAATTAATGAGCCACAATAAATATACATTATTATTGTTCCAATCACTGGTTATTACCAGGGAGGCTGTTTGTTTCACCGACGCCAGCTATTAGTGTCCAAACATGTTGACGAGGAGACCCACGAGTGATACTAACACCATCAACATAATCACCATTCAAATTATTGTGATTAGAACCAAAATAATCTTGAACTCCATCAGGAGATGCATATTGATATCCAGTTACTCTACCACACACCTGAGAATAACTGATACCATTAGATGGGAACTGAACTGATGTACAACTGCCTCCACTTGATGTTGCTCTACCACAAGCTCTAACTCCTCCTGACTGGTACAATCTAAGCCCAGAAGGACAGTTCACTGTAGAGTCACTCATATCCAGATATGCTAGTCTTGTCCATCCTCCTCCTGAACCACACAATGTTCCCATATTACAGTAAGCATAATATGAACTGGTATCATTAGGATTTGCTAGTAGATAAAGACCAGATGGACTGATGGGTTGTTCCTGTTTGATCTCTTTACAAGAGGTAGGTAGTGCAGTAGAAACATTGTGTAGTACTAATAGTTGTTGTGCTATTAGTAGTATATCATCAACCACTCCAGCAGTAGAGGTACTGGTGTTTCGTATATTAGAGAGAGTACCAATAATGTTATTAAGTTTCATCACTGAGCTACTAACTGTCTTTATGACTCTATTCAAT